TCCTTGAAGCTGTCCATCAGAACCACAGAGCCAATGGGAGGGCAGGGAGGAGGACAAGGGGGTCAGACTAAAAACTGGACCAGAAACAGACTCAAAGACTGGAGTTCACCAAACTGAGCGCTGGGAGGCAAAGATGATGCCGGACAGCAGGAACCAAAGCACCTGCTGTGGAACCAGACCAGGAACCAGCTCCACAGGACTCACACCAGGAACACAAGCCAACACACAAAGTGGGCAAAACTGTCTTTAATCTGTACAAACGTGTTTTACAGAACAGAGATACAGGATCTGCCTCCCACTGGCTGTGTCCAGTTAAAAAGCTTCAGTTAAACATCCGGCTGCGTCTCTGTGTCCTGCAGGACTCTGAGGGGGAAAAGCTGAGCATCAGCCTGGACCTGAGAAGGGCTGCGAGGAATGAGACACCCTGAGATGGACATTCAGAGGCAGGGTAACAGGGTAGAGACGAGGAAGGAGGGTAGAGACGAGGAAGGAGGGTAGAGAAGAGGAAGGAGGGTAGAGACGAGGAAGGAGGGTAGAGACCAGGAAGGAGGGTAGAGACCAGGAAGGAGGGTAGAGATGAGGAAGGAGGGTAGAGACGAAGAAGGAGGCTAGAGACGAGGAAGGAGGGGAGAGACAAGGAAGGAGGGTAAAGCCTAGGAAGGAGGGTAGGGACGAGGAAGGAGGGTAGAGACTAGGAAGGAGGGTAGAGACTAGGAAGGAGGGGAGAGACGAGGGAGGATGGTAGAGATGAGGAAGGAGGGTAGAGAATAGTAAGGAGGGTATATATTTGGAAGGAGGGTAGAGACTAGTAAGGAGGGTATATATGAGGAAGGAGGGTAGAGACTAGTAAGGAGGGTAGAGACTAGTGAGGAGGGTAGAGACTAGGAAAGAGGGTAGAGAAGAGGAAGGAGGGGAGAGACGAGGAAGGAGGGTATATATGAGGAAGGAGGGTAGAGAATAGTAAGGAGGGTATATATGAGGAAGGAGGGTAGAGACTAGTAAGGAGGGTATATATGAGGAAGGAGGGTAGAGACTAGGAAGGAGGGTAGAGACTAGTGAGGAGGGTAGAGACTAGGAAGGAGGGTAGAGAAGAGGAAGGAGGGGAGAGACGAGGAAGGAGGGTAGCAACGAGGAAGGAAGGAGGGTATATATGAGGAAGGAGGGTAGAGACGAGGAAACAGAACTTGTGTTGGGGGAGTCTGATTGGTGAATCCAGAGCAGCTGGAGCTCATTTCTTCAGTCAGAGAAAAACAAAGAATCCACCAGCCACCAAGAAGCCAATCATACCGATTTTTCAGCCATCAGAGGAGTTTGATTGGTGTCCTCTGCTGGATCCTGGACCAGATCTCTGCCTACAGAGGAGGCAGAAGGCAGTCAGATTCAAACAGACACAAACAAACACAAACAAACCAACACAAACAAACCTGTGACTCTCAGCTGAATCGTTATCTCCCTCCTAACCCTGCTGCTCTCCATCAAGCATCTGTACTCTCCAGTATCTCCGACTGTGGGGTGGTCCAGAGTCAGACTGAGGTCTCCGGTTCCCAGCGGGTCTCCCTCCATCCAGGTTCTGTTCCTGTAGAACTCGTGCTGTTGGTGAGTTTGGTTGGAGCCCTTCTGATATTCGTGGACCCTCGTGAACTCTGGTTTAAATCGTTTCCACACAATCATGGTGTCCTCTGGCAGGTCAGGGGTCGTTTTGAAGGGCAGCACCACAGACCCCGCCCCCTCCTTCTCATTCACCTGTTTGGCTGAGAGAAGGACAAACAGCAGCTGGGATGAGTGAGCCCCAGCTTCTGTTTCTCAGGTGATCCACACAGAGTATCAGCTTTAACCCCTGACCTTTGACCTGTAC